GAATTCATTGAACTATTGTCAATGCACAAATATTACTTTCACTGGCGAAGCATCTGCTCTTATTTTACCCCATGAAACAGCTTCATCCGGTCGAGCTCCAGAATCACTGCCATCATATTCTGATGCAGTATTCAAATAAACAGCATAATCAGCACCATTTCTCTAAATTAACCAATTAATAAAGTTAATTAAAGCATTAGTGAGATAATTGGAGAATAATATWTATAACCTAGTTTTTGTTCATAGCCTGAAGAGAAAACAACAAATTATTAAATTAGTTTTAAAAAAAATGCATTTATCAGAGAAGACATGCAACAAGTGAATCATTAATAACAAAGACATGTTGGGTATCTATATTATACTAGATTTATAACAGAAAAGTCATATTGGAAATTTGAAACTCACAGTTATTGGCTTATTGCTTAWTGTATCACTAATCTATAAATGTGCACTTACCATCAAATTGGCATTGCAAATGTGATGTTTTATCACTCCACCTCCTATTATAATCATTCCACTATTAGCTGCTTTTACCGCMATYGTGTTCAATCTTCTCAAATCTTTGAAATAAAAACACAAAAAATAGTTTACTATGTACGATAATTAAAAATAGTAYTGCAAATACAATAAAACATTATATGGCACACTTTACCTTTTAATATATCAATTATAAGACCAGGATTTCTAAAGGAATGAAAGTACATCATATCTCCTAAGCTACCATCTGTTAATGCTGGACAAAATATAGGGATCTTATTCTTAGCAGCCCAATAGCATATCGACTGTTCATCATTTATTTCTAAACCTAATCTTTCAATTATTGTAGATGGAGTCCAAGAAATATTCTACAATGCATAAATATTAAATCAATTAGATATTTAATACTTTATAGTAATATCATAGCTATATTTTTATAAATACTTGTTCTTCGAGCAACTTGTCTAAGATAGGCATGACCCAATTCTCAAATTTACAGTAGTTATTGTTTGGAACTAATAAATTGCCAATTCTGTTGATGCCATCTTCACGGAGAGTGCTACCTTTTAATTGAAAATCTCCTATAAATGTAGGAGCCAAACATTTTATTAGGTCTTCCTCTACACCTCCAGCAGTTGTCACTATACAGTCGACCATTTTATGTTGGACAACAAAGCGTATTGCGTCACGATTACCACATGAAACCATATTTGACGTATAACCAAGGAACATTGTGCAATTTGAACGGCGTTTGATAAATTCGTCTTCTTCATGAATATCTTCTTCAAATGGTTTTTCTCGTTCATCTAACTATGCAAAAATTAAAAGTAAATAAAAAAAATGGACATCTACTTCTATCATCTAACCATTTTATTTATCTGTTCGACAGATAATCCAAAATTCGTAGCCTGGAATCCAGAATACCGATAGACGGACAGTAACTGKCCATAGTCAATTCCATTGTTCCAATCATAACCTAATAATGAATTGGAATAATTTAAAACAATAAGAAAACCAGTGTATAAAAATAGTTGAACCTTTTACAGTTGGATTTTCGGACGAAATGTCTAGACTCTTTTTCAAAACTGCATCTGATGCCTTTTGTGGCTCCATACCACTTTTTGGTTCTATACAACTTATTTAAATGTAGAAATAAACAATAATTGTAATTATAATGTAAATATTTAAATAGCTGTAATAAAACTGTGCTGCAGGTTAGGTTACTACTTACTATTATATCATTGAAATTTAATTGAAATGCATGAGTGCATCGTGGATACTGGATTCGTTTTCGTTATACCCGTTATCCACCTTGGTTGTAACTATGGTTATCAGTTATCACCAATCACCTAATTATTATTATATTTTGCCGTTTTCTGGTTGGATGTTGGTAGCCGGAAAAATTTAAGTTTATCGTAGTACAGCAGCTGCTGGTGGCTGGTGGTATTAACGTATTGTTCCATTTATGAGTTTTTAATTTTTATGACAAAATGTCAAAATCTCGATTTAAAATATATATCTACCGAAGTTCAAAATAGGTCTAAACCTCTAAACTTTATTTAGTATTACTGTAATCAGGGTTGGGTACTTTTCAAATACATAAGTAATTTGTAATTGGTAATTAATTATAAAAATATTGATGTAATTTGTAATTGGTAATTAATTATAAAAATATTGATGTAATTTGTTATTGGTAATTAATTATTAAATGTTAATGTAATTTGTAATTGGTATAAAAAATTTAATTTTTCAATGATAAAAATTTATAATTTTGGATTTTCTACAATGTACAATAATATGTATATAAGTAACTTGTAAAGCATAAGTTTTATCGAAAATTCGGTACCGAGTACCGATACTAAAAGATAATTTTATGATGAACATTACTACAAAATACAGATAAAAATAACTATCTTCCACAACTACCCAAGTTTGAGGAACAATATCTCATCAACGGATTAACRAAAAATGAAAATGTATACGTGATTATTAATTTATGAAATTTTATGTATAGGTTGCTATTTGAAAATAAAAAGGTAAATGACAGTGATTTACCTAATAAAAATAAGGGTGAAAAATATAAAAAAATATACAATTCGAGATGAGTGTAAATCATAGAGTAATTACTCTATGGTGTAAATCTACACTGAAAAAAAATAAGTAGGTAGCAATAATGAAAACTTAGATCAATTTAACAATATCTTTGTTACTCCTGAGCTGACARAGAAATTGTCATTTCCACATCATTAACAATGTTAAATTTACAACATGAATAAAGTTAACAATTCTCCCACTCAGTGGTGCCGAGAACATGATTCAAGTCTGGCAACGGCCAGATCTAATTTWGGGGGTGGGTGTCTGGTGGTAGGTGGTAAAATTAAAAAATGTATATGAATAATGAATATCATAATATTATATAGGTTAGGTTAGACATGTTACCATTATTTAGATCGTACA